TCATCTTCAAGCAACTGACGGTGACATTGTGATGGTGAAAGGTGACATTGAAGTCACCTTTTATGAGCAAGGAGAGAAAGGGAGATGATGCAATGAAGAAGCCCAGGGAAGTTTGTGATGGGGCCACGTGAGAGAGCCGTGGCTAGGCCACCCAGAGCACCCAGAAAGCTCCGGTTGGGCCTGCAGACTGGTGACAGGCAGGGTGATGCTCACCCGCCTGCCTGCCTTTGACACATCGCCTTCAGGCTTTCTTCTGCCTCTTGGTTGCTGACACATCTCCTTTCCACACCCACTCCGTCCCCACCCCACTCTCAGCTTTGCCAATCTTATCCCCACCCCTGTCACTCATGTCCTGAATAATGCCCAAACTGTTAGAACAGAAGACACGAGAATAAATGAGGCGGTTACAGCAGGCAGGTGGAAGTCCTGAGGGGCAGTCAAGAAGCAAACAAGGAAAGAGGGCGGCTAGGAGACAGAGGTAATTTCAGATATGCCACCCCAGTGTGTGTCCCCCAGCTCCAGAAGCAAGGGCTTAGCATTTCACACATCATACTTATCTCACCTGCCACACTGTGAGAGAGGCCGCTGAGAAGCTTTTGGGAGTGAGTCCCTTGAGGGAACAGGTTCTAGCAGGGCAAGGGGTCTTCCCTGTCCCTCCTGATGAGCGTGGAGTTGGGAAGGGCTGGATGTGCAGGGTGTCTGAAGCCAGGAGAAAGGCTGCCAGCTCATGGCACTCTGCCCAGGCAGTGCTCACAGCCGGACTCGCTCTCTGAAGAGCTGCTTCTCCGCCACCATGCGAGGCTGTGTAAAATATCCCCGCTAGGCTGTGTAACTATCCCTGTTGCTGACAGAGCATGGGCAGGCATGCCTTCGGGGAGCATGCGGCCGGGCAGTGGTTTAGGGGCTCCCCATGTCTCCTGGGCTAAAGCTGCTTTAACTCCGTGGTTGGGGGCCTCCTAACACTTTGGGGGAAGTCCCTGAGCTCCACCCACACGTTTCAGCACGCCTGGCTCTCACTCAGGCTTCCGCCTTGGTTTCTTCTCCTCTGCTTTGCTCTAACTCTTGCTCAGAGGGCCCGGCAGCCTGCTGGCTATGGCAGCTCCTCTGCTCTTCCAGCTCCCCTTTTCTCGACACTGATTCCTCTAACCACAAACCCTTGGGACTGGTCCCTGGTGTTTTCTGCTTTTCTGCTTTCTATGTCAGACTCCGGGTACCTCTAGCCCTTCCCTACCCAGGTTCTGAGTCAGGCTTGTCTGAAAACCGGGCCATCAAGGACGTGCCCAGCAGTGTCTGCCATGTCTGTCTCCTCTCTTCAAGGTACACTGAGCTCACCCACACAGCAACCGAAGAACCAACAGGGATATTATTGCAGTGAGGCTGGAAATGGCAAAAGGAACCACTAGGTTTCCATCATTGAGAACTGGTGATGATACAACCAAATAATGGAGAAAACCTTGGCTCTCTGTATGCATTCAGGGAATAACCCTGGAGACAAACAAACAAACTAACCAAAACCCCAAATTAAGCAGTGGCAGGGGCTGGAGAGATGGGTCAGGCTATAAGAGCACATGTGCTCTTACAGAGCACCCAGTGCAGTTCATAGCACATGCTTTTAAAAATTACTGTTATTTTTTGAGACAGGGTTTCTCTGTGTCCCTCACTGTCTTGGAACTCTCTCTGTAGACCAGGCTGGCCTCGAACTCAGACAGCCACTTGCCTCTGAGCCAGGCTTGTCTTGCACCACAACACCTGACTGCACTCACAGTCAAAAAGACAAAAGAACAAACCAAAAGCAAACAAATCCCTGTGCATCCATAGAACTTAGCCAAGTGACAGGACTGCTCCCCAGGGAAAAGCACTTGCAACTATTCGTCCACAAAGTGTGGACAGTGAAGTTGAAAAGGTCTGATCAGATGAGGAGGGGTCGGTGCGGTGTGCTCTGTGTCTGTTGGGGTGGGGTTTGTCCCATACCTGGCACATGGCAAGCGTTCCTGCAGCCCGTCTACTGTTATTTATTTTGGGAACCTTTCACGAGGTTAGGCCTGGCTAGGACAGAGGACAGGCTATGGGAGTTCGTCATAAGAGCCTCTGAAAATGGAAGGCCTGTAGAATAAAGAAATGAAAAGGAGAGAGAGAATGAGCAGCCAGCTCTGTGGTTTAGCTTAGTGGTAGAGCACTTGCTTAGCATGCAAGTGACCCTGGCTCCATCCCCCACACCACAAAATTAATTTTAAAAGGACGGAAAGAGGCAGGGAGAACTCTCAGCTCTCGTTTACCTTACAGACACTGGAGAATCTGGAAAAACGTGCTTGAGGCTGTCTGGGTGTGCTATAGGGAAAGCCTGCAGCCCATTTACACTCCACAGTGCCACCAATGGCCACCTGCCTGGTCTCGAAAAATAGAGTACATGACCCAGGGTGGCCTGGGACACTTCTTTCCCTTTTTCTTCCACCACCACCCTGCAGCCAGGAGCCTCTGGTTATTCTCGTTGGCCTGTACCTTTCCCTATTTGCTCTTCTCTGGAGGCACAGGTCACGCGCACACAGGGGCACCAAGTGTGCCACCGGGAACTTGGTTCGCCTGCTTCCTGTGGAGTGAAGCTGCTGTGTGCCCTTCTTCTGGGCAAAGCTGCCGGCCAGGCATTTGGGAAAAGGAGCCTCAATAAAACCCAGCGATGCTGAGCATCCTCAGAACCGTTTCCTCATCTGCCCTTGTGCCAGCAAGCCACGGCCTATTCTCGCTGCAGGACAAGAACCCAGGGTCCACTCTCTCGCTCTCTGCCTGGTGGATACACTTCCAGCAGCAGATCCCCCACTGGCTAGAGGGAAAATGTATTACCGGATTAGAATGGCAGGTCCCACCATGCGGATCCAGACCTCTCCTTCCAGTGAGCCCTTCGAGCTCGAGCAAGTTGTGTGACCTCTGTCCCCGTATGTATCTGCAGACATACAGGGCTCAGATGGAATGATACAGGTGAAAGAGCACAGGGCTCAGCTCTTACTAAGTTCTCAGGAGGCAGAGGGCAGTGCACAGACCTGCAATCCTAGCGTTCCGGGAGCTGAGGCAAGGAGGTCCTGAGTTGGAAGCATAGAGTGGACTACACAGCAAGACCTTCTCTGAACAGATAATCAGGAGGGATGAGCCTGGAGCAGGGGATGGTGCCAGCAGCAGCAGCAGGGGTAGGCAAGGGAAAGGAAAGAAGGTCTGGGCACAGCGTAGCGGTAGAGCACACGCTTGCACAGTGCTCAGCAGAAAAGGCAAAAGCCAGAATATGCACGCCTCTGCTCTCCCTCCTAACAGAGGCGCTCACCTCATCCTGGGGCCCCTCCTCCTCAAACCATCACACAGGAGATTAGGGTCAACATAGGAGTTGGAGGGGGATCCGTAAGTAGCTCAGAAGCAAATAGTTTATTGTAATGTGAATCAGGAATGCGCTGCCCTGTGATTACAGGGCAGATAAACTGTCGCACTGCTCTGTACTGTGCAGCCTGCTCACGCCGTGGAGGCAGAGCCTAGCCAGTGTGCAGCGTGAAGCCTCGGGTGTCGGCCTGGGCACCACAGCTTTCCCTTAGAATTTTCACCTACTGGTGTGCCTTCTGCGCGTGAGATTTTCCTCTGCCAAACAGGGGTGAGTATCAGACAGTTCCACACCATGACAGGACAAAACCCTCCACCCACACCATCACTGCCAGGGCCAGGGGAGGCCCTTGACCGTTCTGTGATGGGTTTTTAATGGCACTCAAGATTCAGACAGTAATATTGCTTCTACTTCAAACAGGGAAGCTCCAGTGTAGTAATTTTTCTTGTTGCTATGACAGAAACAACTTAAGATAGGAACGGTATACTTTGAGTCACAGGTCAAGGATTCAGTCTGTCCGCAGGAAAGGCATCGTGATGAGAGCGGGAAGCAGCTGGTAATGTTGGGTTCACAGTCAGCAGAGAAGGACTGAACGCTGGCCAGCTCATACTCACAGCCTTGTTACTTAGTCTGGGACAGAATGATGCTGTCCACAGTGAGAGTGGATCCCACCGCAATTAACCAACGAGGAACTCTTAGACATGGCCAGAGTTTTGCCCCCTGCTTGATAATAAATCCCATCAAGTTGATAAACTATGGTCACCATGACACTCTTCCAATGCATTTTCCTAAAAAAAAGTATAAACGATGGCCATTTCTTTTTCTTGAGAGTCTTGTTTCATAAGTGAGATATAGATGTGTTTCAATTTCGAATCCAGGAGAATTTCTCAGAGACTCTTGGGGCAGACTGAATGCTCTGCAGAATGTAAGACACTTAGCTCCTAAACCCAAGTCATCCCAAAGTCAAAAATTCCTTCCCATGGATAAGTGTCCTTTATTAAAGACTAAGGCAGAGTGCATTTCTATCTCTATCTACTGTCTGTCGATCCATCCACCCATCCATCTACCTACCTATCTGTCTATCCATCCATCCATCCCTCCACCCCCTAGTCCCCCATCCATCCATCTATCTATCTATCTATCTATCTATCTATCTATCTATCTATCTATCTATCATCTACCTACCTACCTATCTTCTATGGTGCTAGAAATCGAACTCAGACTCTGTGTTTACAAGGCATGCACTCTCTCTCACACTAAGCTTCAGCTGCAGGCCCATTGATTTACATCTAAATGCGTTTTTATGGCATTTCACATTGTGCAAGCATGAATTTAAATTTAGTCCGAAGCTTTGTGACAATACTCTGATACCCTGTGGCTTGAGAACTAGCTCGTGGTATGACAGTCTGGAGTCTGCTGTACTCGGTGTTTCCAGAGCGCCTGCTGAGGGTGGACTGCCGGTGTTTGTAGGAGGCTAGGCTCTGCTTCGGCTCCATGCTCCATCCACTCCACACTGAACAGGAAAGGCAAACACACAGGACCAAGTTCAGCGCTGAATGCATGCAGGACCCATTTAAAAATCACCGGAACCTTGCCATGTCAGCTTTGTCTCCATGGAAATCTTGGTTTTGTTCCTGTTTAGGAAATGATGAGGACTGGGAGCACTCAGGACAGGGCGTCATAGAAGGAGAAAACCCCGATGAAGGGACCACAAGCGCTTCGGCTGTAGCGACCACAGAAGTGTTAGCCGAAAATACGAACTCCACCCTCACGGCTGACCCTCCGGGCCAGCTGGAATTCCTACTGATGGTGGCCCTCCCCCTGGCCGCACTGGTCATCCTTGTGTCAATGGTGCTCGTGGCCGTCTACTTCAAAAGCAAGAGACCTGAACGAGGTAGGCGGCTCTGGCGGCCCTGGGAAGACAGTCACTTTGCACCTTACTGGGCCGCCTGAACCAAACGCTTCTTTCTCTCCTGCAGAGCCTTCCAGCCAAGGATCCCAGAGTGCCCTGCAGACCTGTGAGTACGGGCCCGGCATTTGCTGGGGGCTGGAGTGGAGGTAGTGACGAGTGATATACCTTACTGACGTCTTCAAGAAGCTCACAACGCCATAAGCTGTTTGTTTTTTCTTTTAAAAACAAGTCTGCATTGAAGTTATAATGTACTGCTGCTGTTGGAGCGTGGTTGGGACCAGGGTTCTGGAAAACCTTAGCCACGAGAACAGTGTGGCCTTTCACTGTGTGAGAGCAAATGCTGAAGTGCGAGTCAGATTGCGGTTGAGGGTAGGGGCTGAAGGGTTTGTCACTTTCCTGTGACAGCAGAGCACGGTTCTACAATGGGAGTTACTTTCCCCACCCCACCCCCAGCTGGAAAGGGTGGAGAGAAACACCCCCTTGTTCCTACTGAGCTGCAAATCTACGGGAATTTCTGACTGACTAAAGATGGCTGACAGAAACCCAGATAGGAAACTCTCAGCCACAGGCACACTCAAAGGATGGTGCAGAATGAGTGAACACTGGAATTCAGGGTAGCGCTGGGGCCCTGGCAAACTTGGGATGTTTTGACTTGGGCAGGTAAACTATGACTGGCTCCAGTTTGTTTTAATTATATTTATCTGTGAGTGTGTGAGCGTGCATGTGTGCGTGCGTGCAAATGGGCACATGTGGAAGTCAGACAAGTGCTCAAAGGAAGTGCTCTTCTCCTTGCACCTCTTGGGTCTAAACTCGGTTATTAGTCTTGGCAGCAGGCACCTCTACCTACCGAGCCAGCTCGCTGGCCCAGGCTTTGGTTTTCCAGCTGACGCTTTTAGAGGCCATTTCCAGCTTCACTTAGGGAGAGGCTCTTCTCCAGATGCGCAGGCAGACTCACAGAGAAAGCCCATCTGTGTCCTCCAGGCCTGCTCACAGGCCGCCTGGCTTCCTTGCTGTCTGTCCCTCACAGGACAGGAGCTGCAAGGACTCTATGCAGGGCAGATGAGGTGAGAGGTTCCGGGGAGGAAGCACTGCCCTCCTCTCTCACAGAGGGAACTGTAAAATACACAAAGGAGGAAGAGGAAACCCGGTCTCCACCTCGGGATATCTCAGGGTAACCTAGCAACAGTGGTCTAGGGAGCTCCTCTTTAGTCTGCAGTCAGAGCAAGACCCAGTGGGGCTGCCTGGACGCCCTTCCTTGTCCTTGCCCTGGCTGGACAAGAACTCCTCCACTCCAGCAGTCCTCCTGCGTCAGCCTCTCACACAGCCCTGAGCTCCAGGCACGCATCGCTACACCCGCCTCTCTCCTTTCCTCCCTTTCTATCCTCAGAGGAAGTGGGAGTTCCCTCTCAAACCTTAAACCCAGCGGAGCCCAGGGCTGGGGCTCCAGCCTCACACTAAGCTCGCAGGCTTTCTAACTCTTTGAACTCTGGCCTTCAAGTCTTTCACCAGGATTTGCTTGTGACGGGCAGCCCCGCCCTCAGCATCCTCCAAGCGCCCCATGTCCTGGCACCATCCAAGCGCTGCTGGTTCAGAGCCTGCCCTGACGTCCACGATGCCAGAGGCCTGGTGGATGTCCCACTCCTTCTTGTCTGCTTGGCAATGCCCAGCTCTCAGGTTTCATGACGTTTGGGCAGAGTTCAGCACCGCCTCCTTCATGCTGCCCCAGCTCTTGGTCCCCACTACTGCTCACGGGCCCGGTGCTGGCCTCACAAGGACAAGTAGTTTTTATTTTCTGTTGGTCTGTTACACTGTGTTCTCTTTGAAGTTCAATAGGACCAAGAATTTGTCTCAACCCTCTTGCTCGACAGACGCCGAGGCCTGGAGGTGAGAGAGACAGTGGAGGCACACAGCTTGCTCCCTCAAGTCCATGATCCCTCTTACTTAGCTTCCTCACCTGTAAAATCAGTTAATTCAACACCCACCTAATAGGGCTGTGAGAATTAAAGGAAGTTATGTAGTTTAACAATGCCTAGTTATTAAGCACATACTCTCTGCTTACTAAGGACATTCTTTAGACACACGTGTGTATATCCATGTGGGGTTATATATATATCAGGTTTACACAGGGGCCTCAGAGACATCAAATCCCCTGGAACAGGAGTTGCAGATCATTGTGAGCCATCTTGTGGTGCTTAGCCCTGACCTTCTGCAAGAGCAATAAATGCTCTTACCCTCAGCCAGCCTTCAGGCCCTTCACTTATTACCATGTTTAGCTAAAGCAATGCATATTCTGTAGTGTGTTTGCTGCTTGGTGCGGGCTGTTGAATGAATGAATGAACATCCAGATCTTTATTTTTTTAAGAAAAATTTACACTCTTAGAGTCGAAAAGAAATTTGCAAACCCCCATGGTGATGCAAGCCCACCATCCCAGCACTCAGGAACTGTGTGTGGAGGCCAGAAGACATCTGACCTCAGAAACGCTATCTGCCTCCTTTGCGACAGTGACCCACATTGGCTGCCAACAAGTTTCGGCACCTGGCCAGCAAACCACAGGGACTCTGTGTCCACCTCCGCAGGGCTGGGACTGCAAGCATGGGCCCCGTGCACTGGGCAGTGCTGAGGATTGAACTCATGTCCTCATGTTTGTGAGGCAAGTACTTCACTGGCTGAGCTGCCTCCTCTGCCCCAGAGAAGTTTCTGGGGCAACCTTTATTTGATTTTTTTTTTTCATACTAACCACTACTTTTAAATAAATATAAATTCCCTTTTCTCAAACCAAATGCTGAAATGTTAAATACCTCTTAGGAAGTCTACTCACTCACATTTAGCATAATTTAAGTTCAAAAATACTTTAAAAAATTCGATTTCAGGGAAAATAAAACTGTCCCACTAAGTCAGGCAGGCCAGCGGTTTGCTTTAGGATGAGCCCAGAAAGCAGAAGTGTACAGACTGTTTCCATCCCAGACAAGGGAGCCTCATTCCTTCCTCCACATCCAGGAAGTAAGTCTGTACCTTTGCCATCTGGAGAGGACCTGACTAACACTTTTAAAACAACACTCGGCTGGAAGTTGTCCTGTTTCTGTGTGCTGAGGAAGGACTCAGGGCCTCGGTCACACTAGGCTGCGCCACGGTCCAGCCCCTAAACCACCTTTTCTCTTTTTGTATGCGGGAGAGGGGAGCACTGTATAGCAGGACAGGCTGCTTCTTCCATGCTGGGCCTCCAGCATTACACTTGTGGTTGATATTTAATGCCTGTGAAGGGTCAGGAACGGGCTACATCAGGAGCGCAGAGCAACACGTCTGCCTCTTTTCAGAGTCCGAATTTACTGGGCAACAGCAGATCCACAAGGTGGTGGTTTGTTTGCAACAGTTTTCCAGTTAACTCTGCTTTTCTTGCTAGCCAATCAAAGCAGACAATTTTTATATTCCAATCCTTATAATATTACATTTCAATTGTAATAGTATATATCACAGAGCAAATCTCTCTCTACGTGTCTGTCTGTCTATCTATCTATCTATATCTATCATCTATATCCATCCATCCATCCATCCATCCATCCATCCATCCATCCATCCATCCATCTGTAATGTCTATAAAGGGTTCAAGGTTTTCCAAAGAGGGCTGAGAAGCCAACGCTGGGAACCTAATAGGTTTACAGTTTCTGCAGGATAAAATGACAAGCGCAGGATGGAGTTCTGCCGTGGAGTCAGGCTGCTGGGTCAGAGTTGAGCTGCCCAAGCGAGGTGCAGTGGAGGCTGTAAAGGCCAAGGGCAGAACGAGGGCTAGGATGGACAGACAGACAGCAATTCTAGTAGGCTGTACTGACCGCTGGGACAGTCTGAAGTTTTCTGCCTGTCAGCCCCTTCACACAAATGCACACAAGCACTCGAACAAGCACTCGAACACACACTTGCACACACACGTGCACGCACTCACAGGCACGAACGAAGGCACGCAGAGTGGTCAGATCACAGCTGGGCTGTTTCCATCACAGGGTCAGCTGTCTGGCTTGTCTCACCCTTCAGGTGAGGGATCTCTGGTCTCTTCAGCCTGTTGTGTTAGATAACTTCTCGGGTCCGGCTTTCCCACCCAGGGCACCTACAGTCCCAGCTCCCTCCGCTAAGTTTACACCGTGACGCACTTTCCTCTCACAGTAAGTTACCCACAAGGCACAGTCCTGGACAGGTGGTGTCACTCCCAGGCCCACCCTGGACTGCAGTCGTCCTCCACCTTCAAAGGGAGGCAAATTCTACGTGCAGGATGTAATCTCTGAGTGAAAGACCCAGTCTGAAACAAACAAACAAAAGCTTCTTGGGTTTAATAATCTAGAGTAAGCCAGGGCGGGGCACAGCCCTTCTCAGCCTTGTTGCTCTGTTCTGGGTGTCTCTTCAAGAAGTGCTGAGAAGGCCTGGGCAGGAAGTCCTCCCTGAGAACAGACTGTGGCTCCCCTACTGACCAACGGGCTCTACCGACCCACCCCACCGCAGGACACTTGGCTCCGCTCAGTGAAGCTTCTGCTCAGCCCAGACACCGGGTGGCCAGAGCTTCCTGTGGCTCCCCCCCCCCATGCCACCCCACCCCTAGTACCACCACTGTGCCGACAGTCCCACAGCAGGGAGGAACTGGAGTGGGTCCTGTCAGGATATGTGGTTCTGAGGCAGAAACAGAGGAGGAAGACAAGGTAGGGCCAGGGGAGGGACTACGGCAGGCTGGGAAGGGACAAGATGAACCTGAATGGGGTGCACTGAGCTGGTGGCTGTAAATACAGAGATGTAGGCCAGGCAGCGGGGAGGCAGGCGGGACCTGATTGCTGAGGACAAGTAACTGGGCACCTCCTGGCTCAACGCCTGCTCCTGTGCACTCTCCAGATGTGTTTCTGTTGCCATGGTGGCTGGGGCTGGGGTAATGGCCTGGAGCAGGAAAGATGAGGCCACAGAAGGCTTTTTGCTGTTTTAATACTGATTACGGAGCCTCTCATTTGGTGTATCTGGAGCACTTTGGTAATGGATTTTTAAACTTTTCCATCATTTGCATGCAGGTCAGCTCCTGCTCACCTCCGAGCCTGTGGGAGCCCAGATTAGAGAGGGCTGTGCTCTCTGAGACGTTAGTGGGGAAGTTAGCAAGCAGAGAGAAGGGGACTGGTGGGCGGCGGCAGGGTGAAGTGGGGTCTTTATGTGCCACCTGTAGAGAGTTCCAGCTGTGCAGGGCTTTGTCTAAAGTAAAATCCTTTCAGAAAATAGCCAGCAACCCTTAGAGTAAAGCTGTGCCGAAGGGCCAGTTGGCGGAATGCTCTCCTGTATGCTCAAAGTCTCAGGTTGGGGCTCCGAGCACTGAGAAAACCAGGGGTGGTGATACATGCTGATCATGCCTGTGCAGGCAGCCAAGAAGTTCAAGGCCATCCCCAGCTATATAGCAAGTTTGAAACCAGCCTGAACTATGTTAGTCCCCATCTTAAACAATGACAGCAAAACTGTGGGCACAAAATGTGGGATGAAGTCGTTCTCCCCTCCTCCTACGTTTCTGAGGGTCAAGCACCTGCAGGAGGTTTCAGATTCTATTCAGGGGTAGAAGACAGAACTCACAGTGTCTTCAAGGCAAGCAGTGGTGCCACAAAGACTCCACCAGCACCAGCTTTCCTGGGTCAGCCATGCCACCAAAGCTTGCCAGCTGGACATAGCCTGTGCCATGCTGAGCTCAGTTCCAGGTGCCTGCTGGCCCTGTTTGCTCCCTGATGACTGTGCCTCCCAGCCTAGACACAAGGTGGCCTCTGGTTGTCAGGGGTCAGGGGCATCCGACTCCCTGGGGACCATTCCCACTTGACATCACTGATGCCCTTCTCAGAGGATGTTGTCTTCCTGCCACGCTAAACAGAGCTTGCCTGGGCCAGGCAGTAGGCTCTGGCTCTTGCCACCTGTTCATCTGGAGTCTTATACGCGCCAGAGCTGCTTTGTCAAGTGGTACCTGACTCCCACTGCAGTTGGCAGCCATCAAAGGCGGCTAGTTAGAAGTCCCACTATTAGAACAATGATCGGTCCTAAAGATCAGACGAGAATTTAACTGCATTGCTGGACAGCTGAGAGTCAGACCTATTCATCTGTCCAGTGACTGTTTCCTAGCTGTTCTCCAGGCACTGCACTAGCAGAATGAGGGCTGGGGCATGCCACGGTGAGCAAGACAGATGCTGTCCTGGCCCGTGGGAACTCTGCTCTAGTGGGAGACAGATGAAGCAGAATTAAACAGATGGTCTAGCAGGTGAGGAACTGTCCAGGACTGTGAAATGCAGAGCCAGGGGCCAACAGGACAGCTGGACCTTTCTGAAACAGAGGTGGGATGACAGACTGAGAAGGGAAGGGATCTAGCCACCCCAAGAACAGGGTAAAGGGGCTTCCGCAGGCACCCCTGACAGAGTCACCCATGCGGCTCAGTGTTCGGACAGTGCTCCATTAGGAAACGATGCCGGAGCATTATTTTTGTTGAAGGGTCAAGACTCAAGCTCTTGCTTTCACCCCCCCCCCCCTTTCTTTGTTGAGCATGCTTTCCCTCTTGGTGTGGATACAGAAAGGAAAAGGAAGGGGAGCACTCTTGGGGAACACCATTTAAAGAGAGCAGAGTCCGAGCTTCCACGAGGGTTCGGACCTGGTTTCAGCATGGCCGTCTGTACCGTGTGGCTCGGAGGCTAATGACTGCGCCTTTAAAAACGTGGATCATGGGTCTAAGTGGGTGAAGTCCCGAGTTTGACCCACATGGTAGGAGACGGCCAACCAACCTCCACAAACTGTCCCATTGTCTCCACAGAAGTGCTATAGGCCCCTACACACAAAATAAATACGGTAAAACGGTGACTCACTTGCCAACCTTTCCCTTTCCCACTGTAAAGGGGACTTAGAGGCTGCTGTGACAAATCCCTGCAGGTGATAAAGCTGACATGACCCTGTGTTTATTCTCTTTCAGGTGAACTGGGAGGTGAAAACCTGAAAGTGTGAGTCCTCCCTGCGTCTTCAGTTCCTGCTGTGTGGACAAGGATAGTCAAGGGGGAGAGATGAGAGAGCTGTTAGCCTCCCCAGCTGCTGCTGTGGCCGTCTGGCGGCTTTCTCTTGTGTCGTGTCCCTGGGCTCTCACGGCCCCCACTGTCACGGGGAGATGCGTCTTAGGGGTCTCTGTCTGTGTCACCTTCCAGAAAGGAGCTTTTGTTGGCTGCCACCAGTGCCAAATGCATAGCAGTTAGATACTTTGGCCCTGGTGAACACCACAGACATGGAGTGACCTCCCCTGCCCCTCCCTGGTGTGGATATTGCCAGCTTCATCTTTCGAATGCAATGCCCACTGTGCCTTCAGAGCTGGGGTCTGGCTCTGTCCATCCTGACCAAAGCTCCTGCCTACTATCGCCTACTATCTTTATCCCCGGCCTGGGAGATGAGGCCAGGCCTGTCCGGAGAGCTGCAGTGCCATTCCTCCTAGTTAGAAAAGCCTGGGCGTGGAGGGAGACCAGATGAGAGTGGCCTGGTGCCTGGCCTCTTACTCTGGGTCGTTGATCAAAACTCCAAGAAAAGAGAAGTGAAACTAAGGCCAGGAGGCTAAATGAGGCAACCACTGAGGGCCCCCCCCCCCCCTGGGCAACCAGGGAGCAGCTTCTCTTTCAGCCCATTCCCCGGCCTCTGTGACGTGCAGTCTGGCCTTAGTGACAGATGAGGGTTTGTTGCAGATTTTGTCTTTCTTCCTGTTAGAGTTTGGTACTCTTGTTGAGGGCAAACCCCGGGCTAGCCTGGGGTGCCAGACACGGAATCCGGTTGTTTCCAACTAGCCCACGTTCTAGACTCTCCCCAAATGAAAGCCTGCCTGCTGAGCCTTTTCTTTTTGAAAACACTCATTTCTGCTCTCTGTCCAGCCCTATTTTTGAAGAGGATACACCCTCCGTGATGGAAATAGAAATGGAGGAGCTTGATAAATGGATGAACAGCATGAACAGAAAAGGTATGTGAAAGCCCAAAGTGCTTCTGTGCCTCTGGTAACAGAAGGCCTGGCAGCTGCCTCGGCCTTATCAGAACTCAGAAACCATCATGTCACAGTCCTGAAAGATCCACTTTAATCACAGTCACGGTGTTGTGGTTGCCTCTGGATTTTATTTGTGTACAGGTTGTTGAAATGGGACTTTTCAAGAAGAAATGGAGCTATTTATTTGTTTCTTTCTGATTATTCGGGCATGTGTGTGTGTGTGTGTGCATGTGTGTGTGTGTGTTGCTGGTACTCAAACCCCAGCCTCTAACACACACTGAACTGCCTCCACAGCCTTCACCATTCCAGTCTGGGAAGGAAATCTGGTACCAAAATTATCTGGTGGGGAAAAAAAATTAGACATGAGCTTAATATATTCTTAAAATCAGGGAATTTCAGTCCGTTTGTGGTTATACAACTGCACTGAGTGTCTCGACACAAATCGCTTCCGGTACTAAGGTGTCAGGGCTGCGTGCCTGTCTCCTATAAACACAGAACACGGCCGGAGCGGCCAAACGGCGAAGGCTCGGTGAGCAGCGAGCTCGGTGTGTGACAGGGCGACCCTGGGCCGTCGGCACGCAGCAGCGGCTCTCCCAGACACTGCCCACTGGCCGGTATTCCCCAATTTCCAAGCCTGTCTGCTCCTTGCAGGGGTGTGTGCTCACTAAGAATCGATAAACGCTTCTTGATGTGCAGATGAAATCGATAAAGCTCACGATCTGTGTGTTGTATTTGTGGTGTGTATGACGTGTGTGGCTCATGTAGAGGGAAACGCTTGGTGCCGCCCTCTAACACTATTCATAGCGTCCTCCTGAACCTGCAGCTTGTTGCTGCACGGCCAGAAGTCTCTGTCCCTGCGTTCCCTGTACAGGAGCACGCATGCACACACACACACACACACACACACGCACACGCGCACGCACACGCGCACAGTGTGGCAGAGGAGAAGGATGTTCCCTGGGGCGGGTGCTCACCCCACCTTCCTGGCCCTTCTGCTGCGGAGCCGCCCCGCAGCCCTCAGCGCATGGCCCTGCTGCCCCTGTGTCCTAGAGGCACACCCTGGCTTTCAGAGCGCAGTGAGCAAGCAATGATGAAGCGTGCCCTTCGGGGGGCGGGGGGGGGGAGGAAGACTGCGGTCTGTGTCTGCGGAGTCCGTGCTCTCCCGTCTCAGCAGCCTCGGCGTCCTTAAGCGTGGACGGTGGGGAGAGAAAGCAGTGCTGGCGACTAACAGTGAGTTTGTTTTCTTCTGTCCTAGCCGACTACGAGTGTTTACCTACTTTGAAGGAAGAAAAGGAGCCAAACCTGGGCCTGAGGTACTTGGGATTTCTATCAGGAATCGTGAGGGGTGGAAGAGGGTCTCGGCCACGTGCAGCGTTTTGTTTGCCTTCTTGGTGCCTGGCAATTTAACATGTCAGTGTACACGGAAGAGTGTGTGGCCAGGAAGTGTGTTTGGGAAAATACAAAGTAGCCCACTATCTGCTGATATTTCGGAGACATCGTTGAGCCGGCCTTTGGTTGAGCCCTAAAATTTGCTGGTCATAGCAAATTGAGTCAGGAGGTTACTTTACCTTGGGTAGAGAGACGGGAGAAAACGGTGAGAAAACGGATGGAGGGGAGAGCCCCAAAGTGTGTGGTTTGCTACAGTTGTGACTAAGAGGAACATTTGTAAAAAGCAAACAAACAAAGGGCCCTAACCCACCTGGTCTAGATTATCAGCAGAGAAAAAAAAAAAGTGGAAATTAAACGCCTATCCCATTCTGCCACTAGGTGGCTCTGCTCGATAGAAAATTTCCGTGCCCTGGGGCCAGGTGCGACCTATTAGCACTGACTGTTAGGGAAAGGATGCTATCTTTGTGGAGGGAAGTTAGTGAGATTGCTTGGTGTGTGGAGGGAGGAGGAAGGGGGAACTAGCTCTTCAGGGTGTGGCTGTGGTTTGGGGGTCACAAGCTATCCCCTGGGGTGACAAAGATGACCAGACAGGAGGGGAGTCAGGCTGTGACGGGAACAGGACTCACGTTAGATCAACAGCAAACGAAGCTTCAGCATGGTGAGCGCCTGTGAAAACACAGCATCACCCATCACTTCTCAGGTGCCCCAGAACGCAGTCACGTGGCACTGGGCCGTCCTGAGGCGGGCACTGCAGGCAAAGACTAGTGGTTAGGGTTTCCCTCGGGGTCCTTGTCCTGTGTCTAGACTCCCAGCATTCCTGCTATGCCACGTGGTCGCTCAGCAGCCTGCAGCCGTCTCTGCCACAGACCAATGCCGTCCACACCCAGGCAGCCTCCGCTCTGAGCCCCAGTCTGCTCTTAGAGGGTAGGCCTGTGCCAGCTCCAGGTCTTCACATGCCACCACTCATCACTAGTTCAAGCCATTCTCTCTCACTAAACGAGACTCCAGGGAGTAACAGGAAGGCAGAAGAAACAAATGATGCCAGGTACACCGCAAAGGCCTCTCTGGAGGGGCCTTTCCCACGTGCTTTAAGCCTCCTGATGAGACAGTGCGTGGGTCAATGCGGGCCACCCTCCCTCCAACCCCGCCAACATCACGGCTGCACCTAAGGAGTGCATCACGCCAGTAACCTCACGCTCTTGGATCTCACTCTGAAATCACTGACATCGCTGAGGCAAACTGCCTCAGAATTGAATGGTAATGGATTTATTTAAAAATTGTTGTTTTTTTTTTTTAAATATAGAGAAGTTGGTTTTTGAAATAAGCTATCTATTAAGACAACAACAACAAAAAAGCCCCTGTCTGTTTGGAGAACTGTTTTACGTGAACTGGTTGTTTTGCGAGTGAGTCTCAGAATTCCTCGGTGGGCCTGGAACCATCCGGCTTTGGCTCTCAGCACACCCGGCAGAGCTCCACCCCTGTGTGGGAAGCCAGCCCTGCAGCTCTAGACTGGCCAGTGTGCTCCACAGGCACACGACAGGAGAGCAGAATGAATCCACGGCCAGCCGTCACGTGTCCTTTGCCCTTGCACGTACACAGCCCAGCTCACCATCCACACCTTCCCACAGGGGACACATTTGTCACAACCCACTGGTAGGTGGTCCTCAAGTCTGTGGGCGCCAGCCCCTGAGACACCACCCTTCAGGTACACTGAATGCTTCAGAGAGCGGAGCAGCGACTGAGAAGTGAGTTTGATGGATGGCGCTCTTGTCCTTCCTCCTGATAAATGGAGATTTCTGGGATCTAGCTGCAGGGTCCCCTTTGGATGTTAAATGTCTGGACTTCCAAGGCAGGCAGAGGGCAGGCAGAGGGCAGAGGGCAGAGGGCAGGCAGAGGGCAGAGGGCAGAGGGCAGGCAGAGGGCAGGCAGAGGGCAGAGGGCAGGCAGAGGGCAGGCGTCCCTTTGGATTCTACGCCATCCACAGAATCCACCCATCCCCAATTTTCACTTCCCCATCCTCACCGACTACCCTTTTCTGCTCCCCCTCCTTCTCTCCTCTCCTTTTTTCCTTCCTTCCCTCCTTTCTCCTTCTCCCAGTGCCTCTTTCTTTGACTCCAGATCTTACTATGTAGATCAGGCTGGCCTTGAACTCATAATCTTCCTGCCTCAACTTCCTGAGTGTTGGGATGAGGGCAGTATTGACACAGATTGGCAATATGTATCTGTACACACACACACACACACACACACACACACACACACACACACACGTTGTTTTTAGGGTATGTTAATTGCACAAAATAATAGGTCTCATTGTTACATTTTCATATACTCATTTACTATACTCTGATCAATCAGTCCCTCCATTATCTTCTCCTAACCCTTTCCCTCATAGTGGACATTTTTCTTGAACTATAGAATCTGCTTTCTGGTATAAGACTGGAATTCCGGGCCTTGCACCTGCTAATTCAGTGTTCTACCTCTGTGCACATGCTTAGCCCCAAAATAGGATTTTAGTAAGGACCAGCTATGTGAGAATACTATAAGACATCTCAATAAGGCTGTCATGTTTAAAAACCAATGAGAGGAAAAGACAACAAGCGAGTTCGGAGAAGTTCTGTACGATTTCCCACCTTGTGACCTTCCCATAATCCCCTGGTACTGAGCTGTGCCACACAGAGGCATCCTATCAGTGGTGTTCAGAGCCAGGAGGAGGACAGAGGGAGGGGCAGCCCAGAGTTGAAGGGTGATAAGAACATCCATTTGGTGAGCTTTACCAGCTGTTCAAAGTCTCCAGAGAAAGCGTGCTCCTCCTCCGTCGGGCCCCAACCCGCCTGCACAGCACCGCCATCCCCCAGACAGAGTCCGCCCAGCCTGCCCTCTCCAGGCGGCCGGCTTCTTCCTGCCTCCTGCCTCCTGCCTCCTGTCTGGTCGGACATTTGGTGCCTCCTCCTGAACCTGGACGGCCTGGGCACAGACAGGGAGGTGCCAGCCTCTGCTCGGGAGCAGAGAAAGGTTGCCGCATTAGGGAGCACCTATGACCCTGCGGATGCTTCCTCTGTTGGCTCCCTCACATCCAAAAGCATCATTCAAAACAACAAACGTTAGGACTGACTAGCCAGGGTAGAGCTGGACGACTGTAATCCCAGCACTTGGGAGGCCGAGGCAGGTGGGTCTCTGCGAGTTCAAGGCCAGCCTGGTCTGCAGAGAGAGAGTTCCAGGACAGCCAGGGCTATGAAGAGAGCTCTGTCTCCTCGGGGGAATTTTTTTTTTTCTCAAATTGGTATCATAAGGAATACAAAATAATAGTTTGTGTTCTTCAGATTGACAGTGTTACAGACACTCAGGTGTGTGTGTGTGAGTTTATGGGTCGGATTATGTCTCTACAGCAGGCATGATCTCTTTGTCTTGTGCTGACTCCGAGCCTCATTTCTCACTCCGCCCAGGCCAGGCCTGTGTCGGGAAGAAGGGACTTTGCATTGATGAGAAAGGAACTTGATCTAATTGTTACGTGACTTCGTGCCCAAATGAACTGTCCACTCTCGGAAACGGAGCCCAAGCCCTGTGACCCGAGAAGGGCTGAGTGCTGGCGTGTGGCCATCTCCAGAGACGGCTGCGTGAGCTGTGGCCATACCTCAGGCTCTGCAAGGCAGATGGGTCGGGAGGGCGGGCCGGCTGTCCATTCTGGACAAAGGGAGCCGCAGCTCTGAGGTGAGGAGTTGGGGCTGGGTCTGTCCCCATTCTGCCAGCCCACCAGCCCGCCAGCCCGCCAGCCCAGCGCCTCCTTGGAGAAAATACCACCATGCTTTGTTTTCCTCCTGTTCCTGTATATGCGCGTGGAAAGGTGTTCCATGCTCTTCACATGTTTACATAACACCTGCACAAATCACTCCTTAGAGTCACTGTCAGGAGCAGGTTGCTGAGCCCGCACATGCATACCGTGGCAACGCAGGGAATCTAATTCGGAGCCGCTGCTGTTGCAGCTCAGCGGCTGTTCGCCGAGGTGTTTCTCACAGGGAACTCCAGGGTTTGCCAGTTAAAGATGCGTGGCTTATTTGAGCATTTCCCAGAGATGAGTAACCAGTGGCTGCAGCGACCACATCTGACTAAGTCAGGGATGAGCCTAGGAGGGGGTGCCCTGGGTTGCCATGCTGGGGGGGAGGCTGCTGACTCACTCACGAGGCTTGTGGGTAACGGCTCCCAACAAGACACCAGGAGCAGCCGCTCTCTGGGAATGACCGTATGCCCATCAAAGCAGGAGCAGTCTGTGGCATGCTGGGGCCATGTCATGCTGCTGTGATGTTCCAGAGGTCAGAGGTCATGAGTGCTTCTCTCTTTGTGGACTAAAGTAAGCAACACTGCTAAAGCAGATGCTTCTTAGAAATTTAAGGTGTGCTTCGGAAGATGTCTCCTTAAAGCCTTTGGGACAATGTTCCCAAAGCAAAGAAAACCTGCAAACATTGGCCAGTGCTCGGTCTTTGGAACATGAGTCACCAATAGGCGGGTATGTAGGTGCCAGGCCCGTAACATAGGGTTACCTGCGTTTTCTCATTCTTTTCCTTTGACTGTGTGGTGCTGGGGACTGAGGCCAGAGCCTCTGCCATGCCTCACCTCAGCCCTATAAGCTATATAATTATCAGGTGTGTTTTGAGGGTGAGGTCAGGCAAGGAAATTAAAGCTAAGAAAGGTTATCATGCCTTGTCACACAGCAAAGACGTAGCTGGGCCCTGACTCTAACCGACCCCAGCACTCTGGGAGACAGAGGCAGGTGAGTCTCGGTGAGTTCACGGCCGGCCTTGTCTAGAGAGAGTCCAGGACAGCCAGGGGAGGTGGGAGGATGCACTTGATTGTGTACCTACCAGCCATCACCACAGCCACACAGCAGGAGCGACTCAGCACTAACACCCACAAGATTCCTGGACTGATCGCTTAAAAATCCAAACGTGTGCTTCCCGGGACTGAGGAGAGGACAGTGGGCACAGTGCTGCCTTTGAGCAGGAGAACCCGAGTGTAAGCCCAGCCCTCATGGGAATAAGGTGGGTGGCTTCCCGCTGACTGTACCCCGGCGCTGTGGAGGACAGAGACGGAGAACTGGGGTGGCGCCAGCTGTCAGCCGAGCTCTGGGCTCAGGAGAGAGTGGTAGAGCAGCACACTGGGCTGCTCCTCCAGCTCACACGCTCCCAACCCCTGTGCACACACACACACACACACACACACACACACACACACACGCTCGCCCCAATCTCCACACTCATGTTAATTAATTAGTATCTGATGCTGGGACCTGAACTCTGAGACTCTCACATTCGAAACACATGCTTTATTGATGAGCTAATCCTTCAGTCCCTTCTCTGAGGGACGTAAAAGATCTGAGCAAACGGAAGCCATAGTGTGTTGCAGAGTCAAAGACAAGAACGTGAAGTTATCATTTCAACCCATCTCTCCCTAGTCCCAGGGCACTCTGGGAAAAGTCACTGTGCAGAGGGCCAGGATGACCTAAGAGGAAAAAGCCTCTGAGAGCTAGGGCGGGGTATCAGGGCCTGAACCACAGGAAGCAGGCAAGCAGGGTTAGCCGAGAGCTGGGTGTGATCGCCCACACCTGTAATCAGCACTCAGGAGGCTGTAAGTTCAGGAGAATCTAGGCTACAGAAGGAGGCCCTGTTTGAAAAGGAAGCAAAAAATCCAAGCCTGGCATGGTGGTATACACTTATGGTCCTAACACTTGGGAGGCAGAGGCAGGAGGGTGCCACAACTATTTCTGTTAAAACCACTGGACAGAGCTCAGTCAGTTCAGCAGACAGAACAGGGTCACGCTACATAAGGCCATAAAAGGAGAACATACCATTTGGGAGCTCTGCTCCACTAAGATGGCCTCTGGCCCTTTGCAATACTGTCTCGGTACCACCCAGTGTCCAAGGAAGGAAGCCTGCACTCAAACGCTTTGTTTTCAGAGTGACATAATGAGAGGTTTGTTAGTACCTAACTCTTAGAGACTATTGCTTCTTTAGTGTGTGTGTGTGTGGGGGGGGGGGGTGTTGGTGACCAAATCAAGGACCCAGAGATTACATGTGTAAGCAAGTTTTCTGTCACTGAGGTATACCCCAGAGCCAAACAAACACCTGAAGGTTCCATTTAATTGTCCTCATTTAATGCGTTTTGCCCTAGAGGACATTCCTTTGCTTATCCCCTGCCGTGGCTAGAGTTCTGCCCTCCTCTCCTTCCCCTGAGCTTTCCTTGTCCCCACAGCCCTCCCCCATGTCCCTAGCCTCTCAAGGACACATCTATCCATTGACTGATCTGTCGTCTGCTGTGGCTTGTTTGTACTTAGTTCTCACTGTTCCCAGGCTGTAGCGGCTGGGCCTACAGGTGTGTGCCCTCGCTAAGGCACCGTGCTTTACTGCGTGTCTGCGGAGGGAGTCAGAAGACTGCCCTCGACGGCACACCATCTGCTCGCTGTGGTCATTCATGCCCGCCCCAGAGACAGAGTTGACTGTCGATAGAGATGTGAGAGAATGTGAGGAGGGGAGATACCAAACCCAGAGCAGAAGCAAGGAGCGAGAAGCAGGGCCCTACTTGCTCTCTAGACAGGCATGGGAGCCCCTGACACCCCGGGAAAAAGCCATGAAGTCACATATAGGACAAAGATAGCCAAGCTTCAAACAAACAAACCAACAAAGCACAAATTAGCCAATTGCATGGTGATGGTCAGGTACCAGCTCTGTAATTTATAATCATTGACGCCCCACGATGTCTATGATGGAACTCGAAATGGTGCAGAGAACACTCCTTAGTGCCTCCTGAACAAGAAGCACTGTGGAAAACAAGCCAGGAGCACACACTCCTGAAAGAAAACAACACATTTTTTAAAAGACTTTGGCATTTATTCATAGGGAATGGGATTAGATTTAACTAAAGGTGGGAACCCCCAACTCCATCTGGTCCCCTGCTCATTGCTGGGGAGGGGTTTTGCAGAGCTAGGATTGTGTCTTGGAGTACACGGATCTCCTCAAGAATCGAATATAAAATTCAAGCTGCCCCTTGTTTGGGAAATCGCATGCTGAACAGTGCTGGCTTCCCGGTTGTTCAGAATTCTGAGCCACCTCTGCAGTCAAGGGGCCTCGTGCCCTTGCTACGCATGCCATCACCGTTCTTTCTTTCTCTTTTAGTGAGAACGAGTCCTAAATCTGCCTGCTGTTGCTGTTTTCCGAGAGAGCCCGCCTGTCAAGGGAGGACGAAGAGGAGACAAGTTTAATGAATTTCAACTCGGTGCAGACCCAGAACTTTTACTGTCTGTCCACCACGCCCCTCCAGACGATGCTTCCTCTGGACTTGGAGGCATGTAGTATTGGAAAGGCCGGGCCGCCTGCCAGCCCACTCCTGGGGAAGAAGGAGCTCCCCGCTCCCCGTGTGGTGCTGGGTCTGCTCGGTGATGTCCCCTCCCCACGGCCCCTCCTCACCCACTCCGAGCACTCTCCTGGAACACCACCTACTACCTAACGGGCCGGATAACACCCTCTCATTAATCATGCCTGCCGACAGGGTGAGTTTATTGATCTGGAACGTTCTTCAAGGACAGCTGTGTCTTGGAAAAGAGCCAAGCAAGGCGGGTGTTCCGTAGCCCCAGCACCCCGGGGAGTGGTCGAGCTTGCTTCTTACCTGCTGAGGAAACAGCGGGAAGTGCAGTCCTCACGGGAGGTCCTCGGGGACTCAGACCTGCGCTCGGCACACGGCACATGTGACCTCCCGGCAGACCCTAAACACAGAACATCTCCGCTCATCGCTCGAAGCGGCTGATCTCACGTCAAGCCGAGGGCCGGCGGTGCTGTGTGGGCGCGGGGTGCGGGCAGGTTCGGGTCTCCTGTCAGCCTCCTGTTCCTCGGAGATCTTCGGGCTGAGCAGGAAGTAGGTAAGCGAGTGGCAGCTGTGGCTGCGTGTGCTGGGGTCTCTCCTGCGCTCTGCACGCAGCCCTCCTGGAGGGCCCAAGAGTGTCCGACCCTCAGCGCTCCCGGAGGGAGCTATCAGGCCGTCAGAAATGACGATCTACTGGTTGACATCTGTGTGCTAAGAACAGTGGAGCAAAATGCAGAAGGTCCCACTCGCCTCTCCTCCATGCAGCCAGCCCCGGCTAATCCTTAGTTCTCTAGTTCTGACCTTTAAAGGGCCAGCTAGCAAACTGAGTCCTCCGTTCTCTGGGATGTCGGGTATTTCACTCCGGAAAGAAACAGTGACAATTTTATTTTGCAAACCACACACAACCTGAGGGGAGAGAGGCGGACTGACCGTTGCTGCTGAACTGGGGTCTGGGTCTGAAAGGCTGCCTTCATGCTCCACAGAGCCCTCCGGCCTCCTGAGACACACAGATAATTGACAGGCGGAGCTGGAGGCCAGGGTGGTCTCTCCACAGTGAAAGCGAGCCCTGCTCACGCTGAGTCCCGGGCCCCCGACTGCCCCCGGACTGTGTGTGTCCTGCTCTCGGCTTTCCCACTCTGACACAGCTGAGTCACTGCCCCGTGGACACTCACCATCAGTTACAATCTGGCCCATTCTCAGACCTTCACCCAGCAGATACTGCCTACTTAGCCATCTTCGCTGTCTCCTCTGCCCGTGACTGTTGCTTTCAATTTGTTTTTCTTTCTCTGAAAAGTCTAGTTCCTTCTTTCTCAGGGTGTCTAAGATCCCCGATGCCTCCCTAGGCCTTTGACCTTGACCTGACCCTGTCCAGTATCAGACTTTGGAATTTCTCTGAAGTGTGTGAGCTCTTGGACAGTTACTCTTGATAAAGCAGTACTTCGTGAGGTGATAACAAGATTCTCATTCAATACGTCAAATAACCTCAAACTCCCGAAGAAACAAATTTACCAGCACGCTGTTGAGTTTACACCTGAGAACTTTGTGGACTTTCCGGGCAGCACAGTACACAGGAACTCTCTACAAAGCTGACTTGTTCTGCTAGGACTTCATGACAGCGACATGGGTCAAGAGCCAGGTTAACCCTAGGATCCTGAATCTTTTTATTTCAAAACAACCAGAGCACATGTGCTGGGTAGGACAATTCCAGGATTTTTTGTTTTAGTTTTTTGAGACAGGGTTTCTCTTTGTATTCCTGGCTGTCCTGGACTCTCTTTGTAGACCAGGCTGGCCTCAAACTCACAGAGATGGCCTGCCTCTGTCTCCTAAGTGCTGGGATTAAAGGCATGCACCACCATACCTGGCTCCAGGAATTTTTAAAACAAAAATATTTGCTTTCTTTTTTTATATATATTATTAGTAGGAAAAATAAGTCTCATTGATTTGCCGTGGCTGCATAGCCAATCAGAACAAAGCAGGTTTTAAAATAAAGACGGGCCGGGAATTTATCAGTTACTGGGCTGTTTGTCTGCATGCCCACAGCCCTGGGTTTGACCCCAGCACTGCATAAACTAGGTGTGGCTGCAGGAAGGTCATTCCTACAAATTCAGCTTCGTTCCCAGCTATACAGTGAGCTCCGACACAGCCTCACTTCTGTAAGATCCTGACTGAAGACTCATGGTTTGGTGCAAAGTAGATTAATAACATTACCTAGCCAAACTTCTTCAGAAACTTGTTTCAATAATTATGTAAAAGGAAAAGATCCATTTGTGACTCTTAAAAAAATGTGTGTTAGTGAGGTCATTCTTTGACAGTTTTATACGTGGGTTTCTGGTTTCTGCAACCCCACCCTCTCTAACCTCTTCCCACCCCATCACCCTCCCTCCAAGTATCTTTCCCCAGGCATGCCGTTTCATTTTGAGACACATTGAGTTTAGCCAGGATTGTCTGTGTGGCTGAGGGTTTGGAGCTAGTGGGCTCCTAAGTTCATATACAGCTGAGGACAATGACTGTCCCTCCCTGAGGATCCGTTGGTAGCCAAAAGTTTCTTTCCAGTCGGTGGTTGTCTGTTGCTAAGCTCAGTCTAGTGCAGGCAGTCACAGCTCCTGCGCACTCGTGGCTGTGCTGCTGTGCCAAGCCAGAAAGGACACCTTTTCACAGCCCCCTCCCTGTCCTCTGGCGCTTCTGGTTTTTCTGCATCCTTTTCTGCCAGAGCTCCTTGAGCTCTGAGGGAGCCAAGCAGAGCGGTGTTTACCCTGGAGTATCTGTAGAAACAAACAGTATTCCTAGCCTTAATCACAGATGCTTCTCTTCCCGGGGAATGCATAAGCCATAGCAGCTCAAGCAGGTGCTGAGGGAAAAGTGTCAGCCAAGTACTCCACCCGAAGCAGGCCTTTTGGGACTCAGTGTCCTGACTCCTCGACAGGAGGGGCATGGTCTGATGACCTGGCATCCATAGGTGGCACCTCCAGCCTTTGACTTCAGAGTTCTGCAGTGGAAATAATGTCAACATAGGTAGACGATGTAAAGAACCGATTTGTTGTGGTTTTGCAATTGGGTTATATAAAGCCGCAATTTGCACCATCTTGGAAAAAGACCTCATGTTGAGTAAACAAAATTCGGTGCTAGTGTCTTCTGTCAGATGAATGCACCGTCTAAGCCTTGGGGAATGATAAGATGCTTCTCACTGGGAAGACCACGCTGACGTCATCACTGTGGGGGGAGCATTGACATTTTATGCCAAATTCAAGTAACACGCGTGACACCTTCATATTCTGAAGGCACTCAGGGTTCACTCTGGGCTTTTCTAATCGCTGCAGCAAGCTTCCGCTGTAGACACACTTCTTCAACCACAATGGCCAGAAGGACGCCTGCAGCCGCTCGAGGGCCATCAGCCCATCTGCTAGTGCCCACACAGGCACACAGCCAGCTGCCTGGGCCGGTCATCATTTCAAAGCTCGCTTTCGAGTTGCTTGGGCGCTGAGTCGTCTGGTGCTCATATCTGATTTTCCTTTTCTTGCGGGTACTGCTTCTGGACACTGGGGGTTAATTTGGGGTTGTTAGTCCCCTCACCTTTTCTGAGTCACACACCATTCTCCAGAGGCAGTAATCAACAGAACTGTGCCTGACCTTAGGACACGCTCTGAACTCCAAAATATACTGGAATCGTCAGTTTCTAAATCAGAGTCTTGAATGCACAGTGCTTGACATTGCATGAGAGTGAAAGCACCACTCAGGACTGTAACACGAGTGGATCCATTTGTTTCTCACTCCAGCCCGTCTCGCACTCAGCTCAGCTCACACCATTTTCCTCCCCCCCCCCCCCCCCCCCCGGACTCTGTAAGTAGATTTTGAATGTTCCAAGAGCGATTCTTCGGCTTTCCTTGGTTCCTGTGTAAGGAGTAGGATGCACACCCACTCAGAGGAAAGTGGCCACGGCACCATCCTCAGATGAGGCCGCTGAAGTCAGAACGCAGCGTCGGAAGCACGCAGGCTGCTTGATTAAAGGGCCGGCTTTTGAAATCGCCGGGTGGTAGCCAATCAGTACTAATTTAACCCGGCAGTGCACACTCTCCCACTTCCGGCTAACTAAAACGCCATGTTCTGTCTGTCCACTGCACAGGCAGTTAAGCTGCTTCTTTAGGTCGGTTATATCATGTGACCATGACTTCGAGGTGTACGTCACCGGCCTCTGTCCTAGCAACGTGTGTATTTCAGGTTGCAGCCCTTGTACAAGAATTGTCCGGTGCTGGTGGGCTGGCCGGGAGGATGGCAACAGCACCTGTCACTAGACCTGACTTCCTGAGTTCAATTCCTGGGACCCACAGAACTGATCCCTGAAGGTTGTTCTCTGACCTCCCCGTGTGAATCATGGTGTACACAGACACACACATACACACACATACGCTTTTGTTTAAAGGACTGTCCCCCCTGGGGACCTGGGTCAGAGGCAAAGCGCTTGCCTGGCCTGAGGCTCTCTTCCCAGCACTGCAAGAAAACAGTGACAACAAGGACGGAAAAATCGACTCATTGCTGCTGATTAGAACTGGTATGTAAAACCATCCAAGTTTTAAGGTTAATTGAATGTTTTAGATCTTTTCTTTTCATACATATCAGAATACACATAATTACACTTTCTAATTTGTGGTTTTATCAAGGTCACGTACAGGTGTATGTGTAGGAATTATTTTCTTCTCAGGTTCATTTTAAACCTTTATGACTTCTTGTTTCTTTTTATTTTTCGTGTATGAGTGTTTTGCCTGTGTGTCTGTGCACTGTGCGTGGAGTGTCCACAGACAGCAGGAGAGGGCTTCGGGTCAAACCTGGGCCATCTCGCCAGGACCCTTCAGGGCCATTAAACATAAAAATGAATAAGAACGCGTGGATTTGTGTACTGAGTTGCTCACTCAACAGTGACGGGTTGAAAGGAATTTTTACATTTAATTTTAAAATGAAAAACTTCTTCGGTCGGACAAAGGATGTTTGTCATGCCATTGTGTCTACGTCACCAATGTCAA